TCTTAAAGTGGCCAAGTTTGGACAACACTGTGTTAGGGGGAAGGATTATGGAAGAATGCACACAACTTGGTGCTTCATGCTGGCTAAAACTCAGCAGTGCGGTTTTTCACCTTCTTCAGCTGGAAACACAGGGCATGTGTAATAATTTAATAGCGTTGCCTCAGCTTCATCAGTTTTTGCACTCTTTCCAAATATGTAATGTGGGCTTTGGCTACCACGGTGCTATAGGTGCATTATGTGTGGGGAAAGCATTCTGTAATTATAATTCCAGCATTAAGACTTTCTCCCCAATTTCCATCCACTTCATGTCATCTGTAAGAGTATCTGGAGAAGTATCTGAGAAGACCTTAGGGTTTGGGTAGCTACACAGAAGAGAAGACTTTCCTTTAGGAAATGGCGAGGTCATATGACACCACAGCCCACTTCACGTATGGCACTCATTATGACACCCTTCACCTGTTGAAGTTTCTGAGTATTCTTCAAAGGCAGTTCTACAGAGATCACCTGAGTCTGCTCATTTAATTGTGCATTCTTCTCCACATTTGACCTAAGTCATGTGTATGTATCTCTTTAAACGGTGAATTGGATTAGGGAATAAATATAATTTTACAGAGGAAATACACACTATGCAATATAGTACATATGAATTCTGTAATACATACAAGCAGGGTTCTGCTGTTAATGATGAAGGCCTACTGTAATGCTTCTCCTCATTAGGAAAGGTATAGAAATTTGGAAAAAGTGGGGATGTTTCTTCAGTTCTCAGACTAAGATCATTTTCAGCAAATCAGATGAGGATGTGGCTCAGACCTGTGATATTCAAGATGCATGATTGATTTCACAAGCTGTTTTTCTATTTACTCAAAGGCAGACATCTATGGGAGAGATAATCATACATTGATCATCTCATAAGTCTAATTAGGGGCTAAGAACTGAAGTGGTCAGTGTCTATTCATGTTATTAGTTATACAGGTTTCAGCTAACATTAGGCACGTTTAAGACAAATTGATTCAGGAGGTCATGAGAGTCATCCATGGAGGGTCACAAAAGTCAAGGTGGGCACATCTTGGGTAATCAAAGCCCCTCCCTTTTAAATCTTATTCCGCACGTATATTGATTTCAGTTCTCTGAAAGTGCTTAACTTTTAACTTTTTATCTTCTATGTGTTATATTGTATGCTCTGTTTTTAGCTCAACTCTAGGTTTTATGTAGTAAGTTTTATTTATTCCAGGTTGATGACCTGTAATAAAGAATTTGATTTGATCTGATACTTTTAAGTTCCCTCATGTTTATTTCATAAAGTTAAATGTCAGGAAAAGCAGCATAATGATATTTTCTTCTACAGAAAAGAACAAAGTAGAGAAGACAAAGAAAGAAGTAATATGGGTAAGTGTGCTTTACAATTTAAATAGACAAATTAAAAACCACAGTACCGTTGCCTACTTAGGGTTAGTATAATGCCAAGATTTATTCTGGTTCACATTACAGCCTGGAAAGGATATTGTAATTCTTTCTTTCCTTCCTGCTTAATCTGGATCATTTATTCTTATAAAAATTTATGTGCCCCTCTTCAAATCAGGTAGCAGAGAAATACAGCACAAAATTAAAGTAATTTAGAGCTGCGTTTCCTTTTTTGTCTTCCTAGATCCAGTTTAAAAGTTCACATCCTTAGTCCAATTTACAAGACTTCCTAGTATTGGAAGTCACACTTCCGTTGGCAAAATGTAAACAAGAAGTGCTCAATCACTTCCTAGTCATCACTTTCCAAGGTGGTGAACTTTATAGTCTTCGTATAAATCCTGCCTGAAATGCTGGTTGATTTTTGTTTTATAACACTGATGTTGGGGCAGCATTTTCCAGCTCACCTGAAGGCAGCAGAATAGTTTAAAGATGCTAGACCGATCTTCTGGTTGTATCCTGCTCTCTTGTTCTACATTGCATCCACCGCCCATCAATATCCTTTTGTGGCCCCTGGAGTGGGTAGGACCAAAAATGCTTGCTTTGAGAAGGTTGGGGGGCTTTAGGGGGCAAAATCTTTGGTCAACCCTTGCAGATGATTATAGCAACCATTTTACTCGTTAAAACTCCTGAGCCTATCTCCCACAGGATATCGTGGTCCCACTCACTTTTGTAGTATGACCTGTTGACGGGCCATGCTCTATTGCTAAAACCTCCCAAAATTTGCCATCTGAGGTCACTGCCTAATGATATGAACATTACCAACTGATGCCCTACCGAGCATTGATTTGAAAATGTATGCCCTTTTTTATATCTGTATAAATCAATCTGAGAATCTGTTTTCATATTGTTTATGGCAAACGCTCTGAGAGTGAATTATTGCATTTCCTTTCTACATCCTATTTATTCTTCTGCTTTTTTATTTTCATCCCTCATCTGAAAAACTTCTTAATTTGGAACCAGCCCCAGAATCTTTCTCTTGAGTGACAGTTGTAGCTTCAACTCAGCTTGAAGGGAGAAGTGTATCTATACTTCAGCGCCTTGCACTGTGCAAAATTCAGTTGGAATATAATATCTGTTCTCTTTATTTCTATCAAGCAAGATGAAAGTTTGCTTCGAGATAGAAAACCTATCAAGATTTTTAAACAATTAATAACATGTAAAGTCTAAAAGTTATGTCTGCATCTTGGCAAAATGATCCAAATATGCCAGAACAGTAGCCTAAACTACAGTCATTTTATTGCAGACTTTGATTATGTTCACATTGCTATAATACAACATGCAGATTATAGAAATCTACTTGATTCCATTCTGATCAGCTGTTTTCCTCATTTCTTTAATTAATGGTACTCAAATAGCATTTTGTTTCACTCTTTAGGAAATGACCAACTTAAATCCTGTTTTCGATGGGGAAGCAATAGATCCAGGTATTACAATTACTAAGGGGCAGTAAGAAGAACAAAATGGTTTTGAAATGAAAGAGCATAAATTTTACTAGAGCAAGACATTTATACTTCCAAGGAAAATATCAATGCCACGCTTCATTCAGGAGAAAAGCCAAATTATCAAAAGTGCCAAAGCAATAAATCATATTTGCTATAATCTAACAGGTAGTTTCCCTATTGATTACAGAGTTTTCCTCTTTGAACAGCTGATTCATGTTTAAATTCCATACTAAAGGCTGTTGTACACAGGACCAACCTGAAGAGTTTCCTTCTGCTTATGAAAGATACCAGTGAATGATTTCCTGCATGGTTTACAAACCATGCAATAAACATTGGCAATTTTTGACTACGTTTGGGTCGGAAGTGTTGTACCTATATCCGGTATTTCATTTATTCCTGATTGATGGCTCTGCCCCCCTTCTTGTTAATAATTCACCCAGGAATCTCTGATGCACTTTAGACACCTTAAATAATTGTTGTGGCTGCATAGAGAATGGGCTGTGATTCTCAAGCTTCACTGCTGGAGAGTTTTTTTCTGGACCTGTAATGGTCTGTAAGAATGTCCTTGAGAGTCAGGAGGAGGAGGAGGAGGAGCTACAGGCTAGGCAATGGTTGGATAAGAGGCAGCTGAGCCCTCAGAAACAATAAGGGCATGGCAAAATGTCTCAGAAGGGATCTTCCCTAGCTTCTTAAACTGTAAAGGCAAGGGGGAAGAGATGTACTTTCAAATTTGCAAGATTCTGTTACTGTAACCTTACAATAAAGTTCAAAGGGCTGACATCAATCTTGTAAGTCTGAAAATACATCTCTCCCCCCTCGCCTTTACGGTCCAAGAAACTAGGGAGGGTCCCTTTTGAGGTGTTTGCTATGCTCCCATTCCTTCTGTGGGCTCAGCTGCCTCTTATTCGACTGTTGCCTGGTCTGTGGCTCCTCCTCCTCTTCTCTCAAGGACATTCTCACAGACCATTACAGGAACACATTCCCTAACTGGCCAACTTGATTGTTCCAGGAGGAGGGTGGGTAGTGCCCCAGTTCTGTAAGGTCAGGAGAATGAGGCACAGAGACATCGCTTTTCTGTGGCAACACCTGTTCTTTATATCAGTCTTCCTACTGAGATCAGTTTGGCGTCCTTAGTGTCCCATTTCAGGAGGTGATTAAAATGGACGTTTAGATTTTTGTTTATTTTGCTTTGAGTTTTGTTGGGATGTTCTTACTATTTATGGAAATATTACTTATATTACTGTGGGCATTTTATGTTATATATGTTGTTGTTAGTTACTGAGAATCCTGTCAGATTATAGTGGGTTACAAGTCAAATAAACAATCATAAATAGTCATATCCCTTCCACTCTGAAAATGAAATTTTAAATTAATTGTTTCCTCCACAGTCACTGGAAGACTGTATGAGTATAATTCAAAATCTGGGGCACGAAGATGGAAAGATACCAGTGTGCCTTCCAAGATTGAAGTAAAGGATCCTGCTGTACGAGTAACAACTCCTCCAAAGAGTCATGAAGGCAATCGACCCAAGGCAGAAGCTAATACTAGTGGTGGTAAAGGGGATCTCCAACAGAAGTTGAGACCTCCAAAAAGTGGTGAAAGGAATCAACCCAAAGCAGAGGCTGAGACTGGTGATAGTCAAGGAGATCTTAAGCAGAAGAAACCTCCAAAGAATGATCAGACAGATGATCTATTCAAAACAGAAGATGAAACCAGAAGACAAAATCACATAGAACCAAGGGCCTCAGACAAGACTGAAAGTTTTCCAAACGACAACCTAAAATTACAGAAGCCAAAAGAAGACCCTCCAAGCAACAGATCATCTTCAACCGTTCCCCCACGCAGGTCCCCCATCCCCTCACCCAAAATATATCCAAAATATCAAAATCAATTTTAAAAACCAGAACCAAGTGTAATATGATTGTAATCCAGAAAACAGGACAGCTATTCTGGATGCCTGTCAGCCCTGTTAATAGACCAGATCAGGAAACCAACTCCACAGGAAGATTAGAATTATTTTCCAATCTATACAGTAACAACATTTTGCAAGTCTGCTTGTATGTCATCATCCCTTCCATTTTTTGCATCAGGGAGAGCCAGCCTCAGCCTGCTCCTAATACAAGCTCACGTCCCAGGCTAAAAGGGATGTTTCTGCCCTTGTTGCTTTTGTAAGGGCTTCTGAATATTCCCTTGAAGGCCATCTCCAGCACAGGGTTAGTGTAGACTTCCAGATTTGCACTGCACCCAGGAAGGATGCTCCCCACTAGCAGCTTCTGCGCGATAACAGTGCTCACAATGTAGTCCAGCTGCTCGAAACTTCACATAACAGGAACATGAGTGACTTACATATTTTCAAAGCATCTTTGACGTTTTATTAATCTGATGAATGCAATCAGATCTCTTCCCAAAATGCAACGGGAAAACCAGTCAAGGCTTGGTTGTAAAAGAACAAAAATGCTATTCCGCAGAAGATATCGTTGATGCATGATTAATACCATGCTTATATGTGCAGACCTTTAGATTGTTGCTCTGCATTTCGATAAGATAGCAGAAAGCTTCAGCATGAAGATCTGAGAGCAACAATGAAAAATGTCTAGAGAAGTGCATTTTAGATATCGTGGCCCAGTTCAAATACCATGTTTTACTGGATCATATGTGGGCTTAGTGCATCATATGAAAAAACACTTAAATGATTCAGAGTATTAACTTTGAGGGGGGTCATTCTTAGTAAAACCACTTGAAATAACCTTAGTTAGTAGCTCCATCTTAGCAATTCCACCTCTCTTACGAACCATGGATTTGGTTAGAATTGCTCCAGGCACTCTATCCCTGTTTTCTTTTCGGTTTTTGTTCTCCTGTGGCTCTCCAGGTGAGTGAAAAAAGGGGCAATAAATAGGTGAGGAGAGATACGGTATCCAACCTGGTGTATGGTGAGAGATGACCTTAGTCATGCCACTGTGTTTAAGAGCATTTTGGTGATGGTGGAAATAAAAAGGGGGAGGGAGGACTCTCAACTTTCTTCATGCCAGCTGGTGGGGGGGTGTCTAAAAATAAGGCTACTGGGACAGCTGACTTAAATCATCCTAGGCTGTCCACTGCTGGAGTATGGAGGTGAGTTAATTTACGGAGAAAACAATGTTTCAGTCACGCGGCAATAGTATCTATGTAGAGAAGTAAATTAAATTTGGAAATGTTACACGGCAGTAATAATGAAGCACCCATGTCAAGCTTTATTTTAGTGTCTGCACCTTTGATTGATTTTTGATTATGTGCCATCAAGTTGCTGTTAACTCTGAGTGACCACTGAGGTAGATTTTCTCAATGATCTGCACTTTTACCATCTACAGTGGTACCTTGGTTCAGGAACTTAATTCGTTCTGCGACTCTGGTCGTGACCCAAATTGGTCGCGACCCGAATCAAATTTTCCCATAAGGTTCAA